AAACCAGCCCCCAGGGGGGTGGAAAAGGCCCCCCCCCCCCGCTTTCCCCTTAAAATTTGGTGGGTTGCCCCCTGGGGGAAAACCTTTTTGGGGGGGGTGTTAGGGGGCCCCCCCCTTTTTGGGCCCCCTTTCCTTTTTCCCCGTTTTTTGGGGGGGGGGCCCCCCCCCCGGGGGTTGGGTCCTTTTTCGCGTCCCCCCCCCCCCCCCCCCCCCCCCCCCGGCACCATGTTGCCGCGTCTCGCCATCCGGTCGAACGTACAAATCACTTCTGCCGTCGGACAACAGCAACGGAAAGGGTAAAGGGCGAGCGCTGATCGGTGCAAACAGCAGCAGCAGCAGCAGCAGCAGCAGCCTGTCGGCGTCGTTTCCGCCGCCATTCTTGTCCGACAGGGCTCGTGCTTTGACCGCAACGCCGCCCCGTCGGCGACCACGGCGCCTCCCGAAAGGACAATCGGAGGAAGAAGTTGTTCTCACCAGCGGGGGGGAAGAGGGGGACAGGACAAATCGAAGCGGCGGTGGCGCGGGAAAGGAGGAAGAGCGAGAGGCTGCTGTCCTCGCGGGAGTTGGAGGAACAAGGGAGAGGGCGGGAAGCGATGCAGGTCGGCGGGAGCCGAAGCGTCAGCGTGGTTTCCTGTTTTCTCTCGCAGCAGCGACGGGTGCTCGACCTTTGCCACGGACAATACCACCGGTGTCCTCTTCCTCGTCCCTCGCACCAATTGTTCTAGCCGGCAGCCCTTGCTCGTCGCTGTCGCCGCCACCGCCTCCCGCTCGTCGCGGCTCGACCCCGTCGCCGCCGTCAGGACTTGCTGGCGAGGACGAGTTGGCGGCGGCGGAGCCTTCCTCGTCGGGAGATAGTCGTCGGAAAGGACCGGAGGAGTTGCCCGCGCCCTCCAGCGAGGCTGCTCGGAGTAGCTCGTCGTCAACATCGCCGGCGGCAACCCGGCCTTCCGCCTCGTCCTCCTCCGCCCCGCTGGATGTGCTTGACCTCTCCATGATGTCGGCATCGCCGCTGGAGGTCATCGACGTGCTGGACGATTGCGGTGACGACGACAGCAACAGCAGCAGTGCCGTCGTCCCCCCCCAACGGCGACCAAAAAGCGCGGCGAGGAACGGCAGCGGCTCGACTACAGCCGCCGTCCGGCCGGGTGCGAGCAGCAGCAGCGGCGGCGGCGGCGGCGGCAGAAGCTCCGACGGGGCCGGGGGCAGCCATGCCTCCGCCGCTGGGAGCACACGCGCGGGGAACGGGAGAAGTCCTGAGACCAAACGATCCGTTTCGACGGACCCCTTGGGGCCCTCTCACCCGCGAACGATTCGGAGAAGGAAGAACTTTTTCGGCCCTGCTGGCCGCGCCGCGGGTGCTGCTGCTGCTGCTGCTGCTGCTGCTGCTGCTGCTACCGCCGCCGCGATCGAAGTAGACGAGGACGGCGTGGAACAAGAAGCCGGCACAATCGAAACGGCCCGGCAGCGCCGCCGCCGCCGCCTCGCCGCCGCCGTCGCCGCTACGGGCGCCGCCGGTGGGGCGTCGTCGGCATCGCCTGTCTCAGCGGGGGGCGCGGCAAAGCGGAACCGCAAGAACCGGCGAGGGGAACACAGCAACAGTAGCTCTCGGGATCACGCGGCGGCCGAGAGACTTCAGCGCCAAGAGTGCAGGGAGCAGGAGCGGAAGGACGCGCAGATGGCGCGTCGGCTGCAATCGGAGGAAGAGCGAGGCAGCGCGGCTGCCGCCTGGGGCGGGGCCAGCGAAGCCGGGCTTGGGCTCGGGAGCGGCGGCAGCGGCAGCTGTGCCGGGGTGTATGGGCCCCTTCCTGGGAGCAACGGCAGATCGCCCGGCAGTTCGCCGGGAGCGAGTAGGCCCTCTTCCTCCACGGCCGGCAGCGGCAGCGGCGGGGGTGGCGGTAGCACCGCGGGGTCAGCACGGGGGGGCGCTAGCAACGCTCGCAGCGGCGCCCGGCCCGGGGGGCGCGGGGCGAATCGACGGGGTGGAGGCGCGGCGGCGGCGGCGGCGGCCAGGCGACGGAGGCAACAGTCTAGAAATAGCCATTTGTCGTCCCTTGGAGAGATGGGGGTGATGATGGGCATGGGCAGCGAATACCTAGAACAGATGATGTTGGCCTTGGGGGGTGGGGGGATTTGTGGGTGGTGTGGAC